CATATAATCTCTATAAAAATTGGACTTTTTAGGACTGTTTGACGCAAAACATATTTCATATGGGAAGCGTATTTATGCGAGGAAAGCTTATTGTGCTATGTTGTTTCAATATATATGATTTACTGATTGGTGTATGCTTATGCTAATGATATGTTAATGAACCGAATTGTAAACAAMTTTGATCTCAAGTGTTTTTTTGCCATTAACACTTAAAAATACACTGGACTGATTGAATTGATAGGATTATAGGAAACATCGTTCGGGATAAAGYGTCTTCTCAATATTGGCATTTCGCGCTGCAAACACATACAATTTTACGTTTKCTAGCCCGACTTCACGCTACATGAGCGTTTCGTTCGATCATATGAGCGGGTTTCTTGGTTTCTTCCTGCGGTTTAATACTATTACAATTGGTCATGTGTGGATCGTAATTTTGTAATGGTCTTCCTCCCGGTTTCATGTAGCTTTATCTTGTGTTTATAGGGCGTAGCAACTTCGACTAAAAAGATTTTTCTGATTCATCAAAYATGGCCGTCACTCTTACATCTTTTGACTTAACGAAATGATTGAAAACGATCAATTACATGAGACGAGACAAAGAAAGCCTGTTTATGCGTGAAATAATAATGAAAATTGTTTTCGTAAAGACCAAATTCTAGAAATGTTGATTCAATCCAAGAAATGTAMACCTTTGACATTGGCATCTTTGGTATCCCTGTGTCAGTGCTTGTCACGTACAAAGACGACCTCTGGTCCTTGACGTCATCAGCGCTACTCGGGCGCATCACGTTTCCAGTTAAAATTAATTTTTCTCGACGAAAAAAATACCCAAAATTGCATTTATTTTTCTAAAAGATAAGTAAATTATCTTCTAGTTTGGATTAGACCGAAAGAAATTATGATTTTTCGAAGATATTTTGTTTTGACKTGATAGATATCACGAGTACAGCTCGTGTTATGTGACTGTGTTCACGTGCTAGCAGTATTTGTCAACACAGCCATTTCGTAAGACGTGTTACACACAGCTTCATTTCACAACACGAACTATCAACGCGGATCATCAACGCGGACGAGTTCTCAGTTTCCAAGAAATATAACACCGAAGATTGGAAGCCTTAACCTAAACCTGATACCTACAACTTGAGCACAAATAAAAGGTCTTTGGAACTTTTGGATTGAAAATTGACCCAGTTTATTAATTCACAACAGCGTCTGGCTTATTGAGGTACAGTATGCTTATTGCTTATTGTAACTTAGTTCTTTATACGTACTACAAGGTTTTTTTTTTGCTTATAGAAGCTTTTGCTTAAACTTCACTAGTTTATGTTTCTAGATAATAATAGAAAAAGCGTKTGTTTATGTTTTTGCAAACCGTTTTGGCAAAGAATCCCACATTGGTGTTTTTAGAACATTTTGGCCCTGGGCATCGTTTTTGGTCTTGTTTGGCTCTAAACTGCCGTTAGAAATAGTCTTTTCTGTCACACTATTCAATAGATTGTTTTGTTTGTAATGTTGGTTATGAAAATCTCGTACCTTTTGCACGAAATTTGATATTTGCAGAGTGTCGCCTTTCACTTATGGGATAATATTGGGAAAATATTACCTCGTACCTTTTGCACGAAATTTGATATTTGCAGAGTGTCGCCTTTCACTTTCGTTTTGCGCAGTTTGTAATGTTTTGTCACACAACAGAGTACTCTTTTTCTAATTTCAAGTTGTGGGAGACATGATAGACTTTTAACGAAACCAGTGGCACTAATGTCATTGCTCTAGATAAGATTTGTTTTATTTATTTGTATTTTCAATATTTCCAATAAAATCCTGCCACATCGCGGTCACGCGTTTTCTATTTTTAAAAAAAACATGGTCACGTTTAGTGTGGTTGACCATTTTAAAAACTCGTCAGGGTGGGGTGCGTCGTACTTTTATATGTATATATACAGTTTTTATCAATTTTATATGATTTTAAGTACTTTAAATAAAAAACACATTCATATATATAATCAATTTTGAAAGACTTGATTATTATAAATAAATTATTATTATTGGTATAAAATTAAAGATTTTTTTCATACATTTTTGATTGTTTGCCTCATTATATTATTTCTTTTMATATCAAAGGAATATAAAGACAACTGCAACAATGGTWCTCACTGTAGCYAATACAAAACCATCCCAGGAACCCCAAATCAAAGAGGACTGCCAAGTGGTATCCAATCCAGCCAAACAATCCYACSAAGTGAGAAACAGTTCAATTGACCACACTTCAAAAACCTCAGAACAAAAGCCTAATGCTAACTTTGAAGTCATGGGCATCTCKTCCATTAAAACTTTCCAAGACTTTCTAGAAATGCACATCAGTTAGAGCTGTCATCTCTCAGTGATTCCATAGGAGGAGAACTTGATGTATAAAACAAAATGAAGTCTAGCAGAAAGGACGATAGGTTCAGTAATTTAACTGGTGACAAGGGACAATAAGAAAAATGTTTACGTAGAAGGCAACTGCAGATACACATGTATAATTATAGTRGAGGGGTCATGCCAACTGAGCTCCAYGTGCATCAGTGAAGGTCAAGCCGGCAGACTTTGAAGTACTATAGCAACTGCACAATATCATATAGTGATTTAAAATATCTTATTCAAAATCAAATTGTCAAGAACAGAAGTTGAATGGTTAAGAACCTAAAAGCATAAGCTGCAGTTACTAATAATAAATTTTTATTTATTTTAATGTATAAGTTGTAACATTTTAAGAAAAATTGGGATTTTACATAGTTAGCAATAAGCTAATCCAAAAAATCAAGTAAATTAGAGTTTAAAAACAAGATGAAACTAAGAAAAAGCAATACAATCTTAAGTGTTTATATTTATGCTTTGTTCATCATAGTCTGTAGAATACATTAGAAT